CAGAGTCTTTCCTGATAAATAAATAAATAAATGGGGAATCACTCTTAACATGGAAACCATCGGAAGACTGATAGGAATCAGTGAATTAATAAGAAGAAACTATTTCATTTTAAATGTATGTATTTATGGGTGGCCCTGAGATTAGTTTGGATTTAAGCAGCGTAAAGCATTATACTGAAGTGTTGCTGTGTACCTGCTTCATGTATAATCTACAAAAATAACTGTGTGCATGTTTATTATCACATGTTTAATCTTTTCTTTATGCTTACCTGGGCGGTGAAGTTCTCCGCAGCCTGGGGTGGGTCGTTCTTGCTGTCGCCGGCCACGTTTCCACGGCGGATTTCCTTGACGGAGACGTTCTTGACGTTGAAGCCGACGTTGTCACCGGGCAGAGCTTCAGACAGAGACTCGTGGTGCATCTCCACGGACTTCACCTCTGTGGTCAGGTTGGGGGGAGCGAAAGTGACGACCATGCCGGGCTTCAGGATACCGGTCTCAACACGGCCGACGGGAACGGTTCCGATACCTGACGGAAGGGAGAGAAGTCAGCGCTCCTCCATATCTGACTTGTCTTTTTTTTTAGTATTCAAGCTTTTCTGCTTTTGTAAATAAAGACTGATCTGATTGGTTAAACACTTAAAACAGTGAGGAAGAGGCAGCTGGGTTTTTATTGTGTACTGTTTTTAGTATTAATAATAAAATTACATTTGTAAGTCCTGTAAAACCAGAGGTAGAAGAAGCTTCATAGAATTTAAAATAATAGCAGCAGTAAAGAAATAAAATGGTCCAAAAACATATAAACAAAGAAATACATTTTAATAGTTAAAGATAAATAAAGCTTAAACAACTTAAAACAATAAAAGTAAGGTGTTTTGATTCTGGAATCTAACGTGGCTTTAATGTTATCAACTAAACTGAGGTGACAAGATTTTCATAATTAAATATCCTCTTTGCTTTTCCTGATATATTATTTCAAACTACCCAAGATGTTTATGAAGGAGGTTTTACAGTTTTCTTATTAATCACTCTTAAAAGCACTGGATGTAACACAATACAAAGCAACACTGCAAAGTATTTAGATTACTTTTTTTGTCGTAAAAATGAACACAACGAGTGATTTGCCAGTGATTTAGTTACTTTTACAATCATCAAATCAGCAATCAGATCCTGTTATAAGGTATTTCTTTGTTATTTCTGTTGTGACAAAACAAAAAACATAAAATAGAAAACCCCTGAAATATTTGTACTGCTTCTGTCCATCTTTGACTCTCATAACAATCAGCTCTACATTACACTCACGCAATCCTGCAGCTGGGGTCGGCAAACGTAATGACAGCAAGGTCGACCTTTAGATTGTTTAAGTATTTTCATTATTTCCTGCTGGTGCTCAGATACTACTGAGGAGAACGATGCTGATGCTACAGCTCTGAAACGGCAATGAGGGAAATTAATAAGCTTGTTGCTGGTGATTTCAGAGTAGAGGAACACAGCGGTTGTCGGAGTCAGACTATTTGTGTTTTGTTTGCAGCTATATTAGTTTTGAGGGTCCAAAAACCACTAAAAGTTATCCATAAACTCTGCAGGTGCACTGCACAGATGCAAATCTGTATATAATAAAAGAATAATAAACTAATTAAAAGCATAAACTTGGATGGTTTTTACCACACAGCGAGTCGTATCATTATTATTGCATTAAAAATGTTCCAGAAGGCACAAAAAGCACAAACAGGGTCTGAAGGTCCAGTCCAGACACCGATTAGTGGAAGTGAGGTCAGGAAGTCAACAATAAATCTGTGTCAATCTCAGCAATCACACCTCTTAACTTTAAACTTTAACCAAATCCAAATAAATTACTTTTTTAAAACTACCTTTAGAGGTAGTTTTTTACTGTAGGCATTTAAAAATGGGAGTTTGCGGGCACTGACTCGCTTTTGGAGCCAGCCACGAGTGGGAAGAGACACAGGTTTTACTTTTTCCTTGAGATGCGTGATGACTTACTGGTTTTACAGGGTGCTGTGTGGCTTTACTTACCGCCAATCTTGTAGACGTCCTGCAGGGGCAGACGCAGAGGTTTGTCGGTGGGGCGGGAAGGTGGCATGATGGAGTCCAGGGCCTCCAGCAGGGTGGTGCCTGTGGCTCCGCCTTCCTTGCGCTCGATCTTCCAGCCCTTGAACCAGGCCATCTAAAGTGTAGAAAATGAGAGGAAGTGAAGAGAAAGACTCTTCGAGCAGACGTCTACACTGGGGTGTGTTTGAATCCCTCACCTTGTCACTGGGCTCCAGCATGTTGTCTCCGTGCCATCCAGAGATGGGGACGAAGGCAACCGTGGCGGGGTTGTAGCCGATCTTTTTGATGTAGGCGCTCACTTCCTTGGTGATTTCCTC